TAGGGTACAACCTTTCCCTGAATATTAGTTTTAATTCATTATTAATATGATTCACTTTTAGTTTTATTTCCAAGTTGGCTAATCAGAATAATAGGTAAGAAGTATTACAGTATCCTGTGCTCTGCACATTGAGGGTCAATAAATATTTGATGAGCAAAAGAAGGCTGATGATACCAGGAGAAAGCAGTGGGTCAGGTCATTTTCATTTTTTACTGTCAGTAAGCCATACAGGAGTAGGGCAATTAAAAAAAAAGGGGAATTTGTATTTTTCATAAATTAAGTAACAATGACTTTCTTTCTTTCTTTTCTTTTTTTTTTTTTTTTGAGACGGAGTTTCGCTCTTGTTACCCAGGCTGGAGTGCAATGGTGCGATCTCGGCTCACCGCAACCTCCGCCTCCTGGGTTCAGGCAGTTCTCCTGCCTCAGCCTCCTGAGTAGCTGGGATTACAGGCAGGCGCCCCCATGCCCAGCTAATTTTTTGTATTTTTAGTAGAGACGGGGTTTCACCATGTTGACCAGGATGGTCTCGATCTCTTGACCTCGTGATCCACCCGCCTCGGCCTCCCAAAGTGCTGGGATTACAGGCGTGAGCCACCGCACCCGGCCTGACTTACTTTCTTAACGTTGCAGTAAAACAACTCAATTTTATGAAGGTTGATGATAGAAATGGTTTATATAGTGATCCAAAGAATGTACACATTACTAAACTGTGCAAATTTATTTGCTTTCTGTTCAAGTGTATGAAAATTACTTGAATGAGCCCTAGATCTAGTTTTGGAACAGATGACTCTGTGTGTGTGTGTGTGTGTGTGTGTGTGTGTGTGTGTGTATAAGTGTGCATGTCTATGTCTGTGTGTATTTGTGTCTGTATGTGTAAATGTGTATGCGTATGTTGTTTAGAGAGAATTCTGTGTCACAGTCGTGTAGTCGTAGGAAGTTGGAAAGAAATAAAACCTGAACCTGAGCAGGGATGGCTCAGATGATTTCTCAGATGAAGTGATGGAGATTATTGAGAAAATGTAATTTGAGCCCACAGAAAACCTGTTGTAAGCACTCTAATTCCTGGCTACAAATTGAAGTTTATTCCTCAGGAAAATATCCTGCAATCAATCTTTAATCCTTATTCTTCTTTCTTTCTTTCTTTTTCTTTTCTTCTTTTTTTTTTTTTTTTTTTTTTTTTTTTTTTTTTTTTTTTTTTTTGGACATAGGGTCTTAATCTATCACCAGGCTGGAGTGCAGTGATGCAATCTCGGCTCACTGCAACCTCCGCCTCCTGGGTTCAAGCCATTCTACTGCCTCAGCCTCCCTCGCAGGTGGGATTACAGGCATGCACTACCAGGCCCAGCTAATTTTTGTATTTTCAGTAGAGACAGGGTTTCGCCATGTTGGCCAGGCTGGTCTTAAACTCCTGACGTCATGATCTGCCTGCCTCGGCCTTCCAAAGTGGTGGGATTACAGGCGTGAGCCACCACGCCTGGCCCATTAAATTCATTTTTTTTTTTTTTTTTTTTTTTTTTGAGACGGAGTTTCACTCTTGTTACCCAGGCTGGAGTGCAATGGCGCGATCTCGGCTCACCGCAAACTCCGCCTCCTGGGTTCAGGCAATTCTCCTGCCTCAGCCTCCTGAGTAGCTGGGATTACAGGCATGTGCCACCATGCCCAGCTAATTTTTTGTATTTTTAGTAGAGACGGGGTTTCACCATGTTGACCAGGATGGTCTCGATCTCTTGACCTTGTGATCCACCCACCTCGGCCTCCCAAAGTGCTGGGATTACAGGCGTGAGCCACCGCGCCCGGCCCAGATTCTTAATGATATCTTTAGGCAACAGTGTAGCTCAGTAAGGAGTCCAATTCTGCCCTCAGACATGTGGAGAGAAGTCACTCAAGGCAGGAAAAGCACCTCAGTTCCTGATATAAATGTGCTGTGAAGACCTGTGCATGAAGGGCTTCTTTGGTAGACTTTCGCAAGCTCAATCCTTAGACGCAATATATCTCCAACTGTGGAGGACTGTTTCTTTTGAGAGAGTTCTGCAGATGTATGGGGCCTCAGTTACCATGGAGGGTACAGTTTGGGAAAATTAAACCATGCCAGGAGGGAACAAATGGGCAAAGGGGCTGTTTAGAGTTTGAAATGAAAGCCCTTATGGAATTCTGAAACCAACATGGGGAAAGGCACGCTAAGTGATTCCCATTTGGCGATTTGTTTGAAATGTTTTGATGAGGGTTATGGAAAGGAAGACTCCAGTTTCATCATCACAGAGCCATTGGATTCAGAAGAGGTTAGGTGTCGTGCCGGGAGCTCGATCAGTTAGAGGAAATGGATGCAGACATGATTCCTCTGCTTTCCATCTCTTCACATAAATCCAACAAAATATCTTCTGCCTACAGCTCTGCTTTCAATGTGTGCAATAATTCATCCATTTCCTCAATTGTATTAAATACACACTATGTGCCAGACACAATGACAGGAGCTGGGGAATCAGGGGGTATGTGGGCCATACCAACAAGAGGCCCACAGTTCGGTTGGAGAGGAAGATAAGAAAACTGCCATGACGGGATTTCCACACAACAGGGGAATAGTGACATCAAGGTAATCAGGGAAGCTGTCTCGGGTACTGAACTGAAGCACAAACTGTTAACAGCCTTTGTTCTCTTCCCAGCTCTGCTCTTTAGTAGCTGTGTGATCTGGAGCTGGTTACTTCAACTCTCTGTGTTGCAATTTCCTCACTTGTGAAATGAAGCTTGTAACACTAACCTCAAGGATTTGTTGTATGGATTAAATGAGTTAATACATGTGAAGGGTTTAGTAAAGCGCCAGCATGTAAAATGTGCTCACAGCCCCCAGAGAACTGCAAGGCCAGGGACCCTTTCAGCTGCACCTCGACTATTACTCCCTGTCTTCAGTTCTCAGCTGGGTCTCGCAGTTTCTGAATAAGATGAGGAAGAAACAGTTACCATCATTTCCCCACCAAGCCAACGGGAAATGAGTGACTCACTCCATCATCACGGAATGTCGGAAAGGGGTTTCTCTTTTTATGCAAAGGATATTTTGACAGGAGAAGTAGACTAAAACTATTCCCCGACCTAGGCAGCTCTTGTAAAATTATTTGTTAACTTAATATTTCTATGAACTTGTATTAAATACTTACCATATGGTAGGAACTGTGGGCTACGGGATGAGAATCTGCATTTATTGATCTTTCACATGTGCTAAGCACTGTAGACAGTACCATATATATCTAATCTAATGTTCACAATACATCCCCATGAGGTAGTTTTATTATTATTCAAGGGAAGAAATTGAAACAGAGAGAGGTTAACAAATAACTTGCCTAAGGTTATACAGCAAGATAGGAAATAAAAATTTGAACTTGGGAAGAAGGAGTGGAGTGTCCAATGCCTGACCAAAATGTTTTCCTGTCTCAAGAAAATATAATCACTTGCTGCAAGGAGTTCTCACTCTGGTGAAGGAGCCAGAAAGGAACAGATAATTAATATACAGTGTAATCTGTGCTCTATAAAGGTGTGAACAGAGTTCTGTGGAAGCACAGAGGAGGGAGGAAATTACTTTGGCTGGGAGAACCAGTTTTAGCTGTAATAAGCAAAGTACTCAAGATTACACAAAATTTCCAAAATATGTACAAACCTGAAATGACAAAAATCTGTCACAGTGAAAGAAAAGCTTACATTCAAGGATGACTAAAAACTATAAATGTGTCTAGGTAATCAGCCTCTAAATGAGCAAGAATCGAAGTTACATTTTTGAGTCTATTAAATCAGGTGTAATATGTATACTACTGCTTTGGTGTGACCGACCACACTTCACTTTGCTAACTGTCAAAACCATGTATTTCAAGTCCCAGCTCAAATTCTATCTTGGAAGGGAGTGGCCATAACTTATGAGTCTTTATTCTTTTTGGTATCCTCTGTCTCACCTATATTATGTGCCTATCTCATTGCCTGGCTCAAGGTAGGAGCTCAAACGTGTTCATTCTGAGTCTTTTAGAAGGTGATTAATCTGTTTTTGTCTAGTTCAAGATCTTATTTTTTTCTCTGTTACATTTCCTGTTTTCATTTCACACCTCATTTATATTTCTCACAGATGTTACAAAGAGTCAAACTCTAAGATTCACCCCTTTAACATCTGGGAAACTGGGCAGCAAAATGAGATCTCAAGATGAATTCTGGTGGTAACTTTTGGGTTTTCTTTATCAGTGTCTCTCTTTGTCAGTCATAGGAAAATATTAGCTTAAACTTAGTGGGGAAAAAAATTCATTCCATGTTGCTTAAGAAATGTCCTGACTACCTATTCAGGTCTGATTTTTGAGTAGTGGGTAACAACCAGTACATATCCATCTCCAGCTCTTGACATCAAAACTGCCTGTTCAGAACAAAAGGGAAGAGAAAGAAAAGGGAGAATGAACCTGGGAAGAAATGAAGATAGAGAAAAAGATTCTGTCAGTCAATGATCAAAAATAAGTGGAGGAAGCGAGACTGTCCTGCAAAATGCTTTGAATAATGTTATAATAAATTACCAAGTCTTCTGAGGTTAAATGAATTGTGTCCCCACTGACATTAAGTAAGGATTTGAGGTAGAATATCAATCTTCAGCAAGCTTCATCCTTTTGAGCTCAAATCAGTGGGTGTTATTATGTCTGATCAAGCACCAGCCCAGTTGTAGCTGAGAACTAGCTATTATCTATAGTAACAGGCTGATTTGTCACTTAATCTGCTCAGGTGCACAACTGCTTTTGAAAGTCTTAGACTTTGATACACTTCAAACACACTTCTAGGACATCCGAAATTCCTCCATTAATTCAGATCTTTTAGTGTGTTTATAATAGACTTCTGCTACACGAACATGGCCCTACTCCATCTGTGTTAGTCTGTTTTCTCACTACTAATAAAGACATACCTGAGACTGCGTAATTTATAAAGAAAAGAGGTGTTTTTTTTTTTTCTTTCCTCAAGCCAGCGGTGCTTTATTGACAGTGCGCCACTCAGGCCTTGACTGCGACCATCTGCAGGGGCTGCAGCTGCTCCTTCTGCTGCTGCTGCTTGGTCTTCAGGTTCTCCTTGTGGTTGTTGAGACGGTGGCATCTGGCGCCCTTCTTCGGCCGCAGGTCCAGGGGCTTGCACTTCTTGCCCTTGCAGAATTTCCTGAGGTTTTCTTTCTGGGTCTGGTTAATAACTGTGAGAACACCCGCAACTCGGATCTTAGAGAGCTTGAAGGCTGTGCTGCCTGTCCCTTTGGCGACGCGCAGCTGGGACAGCTCCACCTTCAGGTCTCCCAGCTGTTTCAGCAGCTCCTCCTGCTGCTTCTTGGGAAGGTCTCGAGCCTTGATCTTGGCCATTGCTGCACAGGCCGCTGCCCACTCCGAGGGAAAGAGGAAGTCAGGAAGGAGGTTTAATGGGCTCCCGGTTCCACATGGCAAGGGAGGCCTCACAGTCATGATGGAAGGCAAAGGAGAAGCAAAACATGTCTTACCTGGTGGCAGGCAACAGAGCTTGTGCAGGGAAACTTCCATTTATAAAGCCATCAGATCTCATGAGACTTATTGAGGGAAACTGCCCCCATGATCCAATTATCTCCACCCGGCCCCGTCCTTGTCATGTGGGGATTATTACAATTCAAGGTGAGATTTGGGTGGGGACACAGAGTCAAACCGTATAATCATCAGTTGTCATAGATTTTTCTTATTCATAGTTTTCTAGTAATTAATGTCAAAATGATAAAATAGGGTCTCAATATATCTCATAGGAGGATGCAAGTTTATTCTTGTATACTTTATATAGAATTTACTAAGATGAAAGGAGATTTTTTTAAACCTGTGATTTAAAATCCAAATTTAGTAATGTAGTTTATTTTGGTTTGAAAATATTTCTTAATATCTCTTTAGTGCCAAAATCTGTATGTAGAACAGCCAAGATCACAGCACCAGTTAAAATGATGTGGGTTTTTTGTTTTGACTTGTTGTTTCTTTTAAAAATCAATGATTAATTAGAGACTTGTAAAAATGTAGTTGGGATTTTAGGGTGACAGCTTAATTGTTAATTTTCTTTAAAAATTGAGATGAAATGTACCTAACATAAAATTAATCATTTTTAAACGAATAGTTCAATGATACTTAATACCTTCACATTGTTATGCAACCACCATCAAAACATTTTCATTACCCCAAAAGGAAACCTTGTCCCCATTAGGCAGTCACTCCACATTCTTTCATCTACCCAACTCTTGGTAAACACTAATCTACTTTCTGTCTGCTTACGTACTCTGAAAATTTTATATAAATGGATAATAAGATATTATTATTATATAAGATAATGAGATATTATGTCTTGCTTCTTTCACTTAGCTTAATGTTTTTAAGTTAATTCATGTTCCAGAATGTGTAAGTGTGCCCCATTTCTTTTTATGCTGAATAATATTCCATTGTATGTATATACTGTAATTTGTTTATACATTTATCTGTTGATGAATATTTGGGTCATTTGTACCTTTTGGCTATTGTAAATAATGCTCCCAAAGTGCTGGGATTACAGGTGTGAGCCACCACACCCAGCCTGAAATTGCATTTAAAAGAGATGATTTTATCACAATATCCAGAGGTCTAGAAGTTGATTTGTCAAGCATTAATCTAGACTTTGCTTACAAGATAACCAGATTTAAGGTATTTTCTTAGTTTTTAGTTGCATCAGTAAACTGATGGATTTGGAGGGTCTTTTCCATAGACAGTATCCTACATGCTTGGGAATTTTAAGGAACTAAGGACCCCATTTCCACCCCACCTTCAGCATTGCTGTCTACCACACTGATCTTGAAGACTGCCTGGAATTCCTACTTTAATTCAACAAGCAATATTATGACAGGCCATTTGATGAATGGGAGAAACCACTTGTCTAGGGACTGGAAAAACCTGGGGTCTAATGCCAGCTTGTCGTTAATTACAATTTGACCTTGAAAGTTTTCCTTCTCTACCCTGGGTTTATTTCCCCAATTGGCAAAAGGGTAATTCCAACTTTAACACCCTGTGGCTACGAAGTCCTGCTGAAAAATTTTTAGGATGTTCCACTTAAAATCGTTTTGGCAGAGAGATGGGAGCCCAATGGGAGAAATTTATCTTTTCACATTTTCTGACAAAATTTCAGCATCAAACTTCTCTTTCAAAATCACCTAGAAATGTCAGCTGGCGTTTCTAGGTGATTTTGAAAGATCACTGTCCTGCCTTCTTTTGGGTGGATGTTAGAAACAGGTGCTTGGCCAGGAACTGAGCAGCTTAACAGGACTGCCTGTTCATTTCCAAGGGTAGCTCAAGGTGTTGGAATGACTCTGCAAAGCCCCATATGGCTTGGGACCTGGTTACCTTAGCAATTGGTTCCCTCCCCATGCAGTGTCAATTAAGAGGCAATTAAAACTCTCCACTGTTCCAGCTAATAGTCCCCAGATTGTGGTACCAGGAAATGAGAGGCGGGAGGTTTTCATTCTTTTTACTTCTTATTTTAAAATTATTTTATTTTTAAAACTTATAACATGCCCTTGGATTTGAAACCTGCCATATTTAAGATCTTTTTTCCCTTAAGTTGTCATTTGGTTTGTGTATTTATCATATTATTTATTGGCTCAAAAATCCTTTAATGCCTCTAATTATTCATGGAAACAAATCTGAAATTTTCTGCTTACCTCTCTCTAAACTTTTGATAATATAGTTCTACTCTTACTATCCAATCATACCTCCCATATATTCTTTCAAACACTCACTATTTGCTTCCTTTCTACATAAAGGTCTTTTCCTTTGTCTATCATCAAAATCTGCCCATTCTGTAAAGCCTACCTTAGAGTCAATATCATGATCACAGTAGTTCTCTAGTTTGAATTTTCTTCTGAGTTTTAGGTGTAACTAGAATTAAAATAATTGTATTTCCTACTTCTTCATGCTAATTAGCCTTATAAAATTTTCTCTCCACAAATAGACGAAGACTCAGTAAGAGTAAGAACTATACTTTACATTTTTCTTTGCATCCTCAAACCTTACGTAACACAGTGCTACTCATTACTTAATGCCACTTAATAGTGAGTTTAGAAATTGCTGCTGTTATAAGCAATTTAACAAAACTGGACATTTGAACAATTTGGACAGTGAGCTTAGAATCCTGCAATATTAGAACTTTAAAGTATTAGGGACCTTAGGGATTAATATACTAAATTTTCCCTTTTATAGACAAAAAGCCAAGAGCTAAATGGAAGCAGTAAATTGGCCAAAGTTAAACTGAAAGTAAATGAAAAGCTTGGATCTAATCTCATGTCTTTTGACTCAAAATCCATGCCCTTTTCCCTTCTCCAGTAGTTTGAAACCTTTCTCTGGTTATGACACATTTGATAGATGCAGTTCACCTGAATTAGTTTTTCCCATGGGCATAGGTAGGGGTTGCCCATTGCTGGAGAGAACCTCGCAGCATCTTCTCTGTAGCTACCACTCAGGAGGACATCATGATGCATGAAAGTCACACTAATATAAGGATCACCTTACTTTTTAAACTTTTTAAAAGTTGCGAATATCGGTCGGGCACGGTGGCTCACGCCTGTAATCCCAGCACTTTGGGAGGCCTAGGTGGGTAGATCACGAGTTCAGGAGATCGAGACCACACTGGTTCAGGAGATTGAGACCATACTGGCTAATACCATGAAACCTTGTCTCTACTAAAAATACAAAAAAACTAGCCAAGAGTGGTGGCATGCAGCTGTAGTTCCAGCTACTCGGGAGGCTGAGGCAGGAGAATTGCTTGAACCTGGGAGATGGAGGTTGCAGTGAGCTGAGATCACGCCACTATACTCCAGCACTCCAGCCTAGGTGACAGAGTGAAAAAAAAAGAAGAAAAAAAATTTGCAAATGTCAATACTTTAAATATTATCAGTATCAGTATGATCCAGCAATCCCACTACTGTGTAAATATCCAAAGGAAATGAAATTAGTATGTTGAAGGGCTATCTATCTTCTAATGTTCATTGCAGCATTATTCACAATAGCCAAGATAGGGAATCAACCTGAATGTCTGTCTGTCAATGGATGGATGGATGAAGAAAACCAGTGTGGGATATTTTCATTCTTTCCTCCTTTTTTGTTCAAGCAACATTCTTTTTTTTCTCTCTCTCTCTTTTTGAGAGGGAGTCTTGCTCTGGGTCCCAGGATTGAGTGCAGTGGTGCAATCTCTGCTGGCTGTAATCTCTGCCTCCTGGGTTCAAATGATTCTCCTGCTTTAGCCTCTGGAGTAGCTGGGATTACAGGCATGCACCACGATGACACTGGGCTAATTTTTGTATTTTTTGGACAGACGGTGTTTTGTTGTTTTGCCCAGGCTGGTCTTAAACTCCTGGACTCAAGTGATCCTTCTGCCTCGGCCTCCCAAAGTGCTGGGATTACAGGTATGAGACACCATGTCCCGTCTGGGCAACATTCTTAAGCATTTGCATGTGATAGACACTGACAGAGCAGAAGCGGAGATGCAGGGATAAAAGAACACAGCCCTCTCTCTGGAGCTCATGGTCTAGTCTAGAAAGAGAGGCAGTCAGATGAGCAGCAGTGTGGAGTGAGGGTATATACATACAATGGAATATTTTTCAGCCATAAGAAAAGAGGGGAATCCTGTCATTTGCAACAACATGGATGAACCTAAAGGACATTATGTTAAGTAAAATAAGCCAAATACAGAAAGAAAAATATTGCATATCACTTACACGTGGAATCTAACGAAGTTAAACTCACAGAAGTGGAGAGTGGAATTGTGGTTACCAGGGGCTGATGGGGGAAGATGGGGCAGTGTTGGGAAGATGTGGTCAAAGGGTGCAACACTTCAGTTAGACAGGAGGAATAAATTCAAGAGAGCTATTGCGCGACACGGTGAATATAGTTAATAATAGTGTATTGTACTCTTGATCTTTGCTAAAAGAATAGATTTTAAATGTTCTCACCACAAAAAAATTGGTAAGTACATGATATAATATACATGTTAATTAGCTTGATTTCACCAATCCACAATGTTTACATATTTCAAAACATCATATTGTACATGATAAATATATATAGCTTTTTATTTGTCAATTAAAAACAAAAGTTAAAAGTCTATTATTAATACCAAGTGAGTTATAAAAATCTGTTGCTCTACATATGCTGCTAAGTCTAAAATTGGTGTCCTTTGACCACCATTTGGTAATATAATCAATGAATTATGCATTGTGCAAAGTTCAGTTTGTGTTGTCAAATAGGTGGAGTGCCAAGACGGCTAAGGTCAGGCCAAACCTGGTGCTTTCAGAGAAGTTTTAAGGCACAGAGCAAGACAGAGAGTTGGAATTTCAGGGACATGGAAGGTGTGGCAGCAAAGGGAAGTGCA